GGGGGGGGGGGGGGGGGGAGTTGATTGAGAGTTTAATAATTCTGTTGATAATTGAGTCGTGTCTTCGATGTTATTGATGTGATTATTAACGCATCATTATTGATTATACGTATCAACGATAGATTCAGTGGTGGAACACATGGGACAGTCAATGTCACTTCAGTTGACTCGTTCTCTCTTACAAATTCACTACTGAATTCATTCGAAAATGTATAAACGTCCAGTGGAATTGGTTGTTGAATGATCTATCTTTAAACTGTAGCTGAAATTCTACTCAGAGTTTGAAACGTGTCAATTGTATCGATAAATGTTAATTAATGAGCTATCAAAGTTGCAAGAAAAATCATTAAAAAACTGAACATTTACGACTAAAATCCGTTTTTTTATATTGAATGCACAGTTCATATGAATCTTATTCACCATTCAGTTGTTTCTGGAGCTTCCTCACTATCATAAATTAAAAAAAAATTATTCATGCGGTAAATGAGAAAGAACAAGTGTCAATTCAGCCAATTATTTCAATCATTTCGATTGTAAATCATGGATTTGGGAGATGTACCCGCAAAAGTTGATAATAAGCCACCGAAATTGAAAATAGAGAGCTTCTACAAGCCTCGAGTGCTTGAGGATGAGGCAAGACGGGTTATGGAGATCGACAAGGAGAATATGGAGATAATAAAAAGCATTAATGTCATTAATCGAACCAAAGTGAGAAAACATTTCGTTTCGTCTTGTCCTGCAAGCTTATCGATTTTACCGTTCGGCATTTAGGGAAAAATAGACAACGACAATTCGACGGCTAAAGCTAATCACAATGTCGTTAATCGTGAGGCAGACAATATGAGAATTTATAAAGAAAATCTTGAGATGTACAATAGAATTAAGGAAACCGTTGCCATGTACTCGTTTAGCGCTTTAATGGAGGATTGGAAGAAGAATAAACACATGACGGAGAAGAATGCAAAGTAAATGATTCATTTTTTCAGTATTTAATCGCAAAACTCCGGATAAATTTCCCAGTGAAATCTTTTAAATTTAAATTTCATTGGGCAAACTCTCGTAAACATATCAGTGAAGTCTATTGAACGTTTAAACAAGTAATCACATAGATATCCATGAAAGTGGCTCCGCCACTTGCGAAATTCATGAATGTCGTGAATCCTTTGTTATCCCTCCGGGAGTTATGGCGGCCCGACAACATGTCGAATTCAACTCCAAGGAATAGCCTTGAAGAGTGTAAGCATCCATTTGTTTTTGGTCTCATATCGTTTTCCGATTTTCCTTTCAGCTATAAAATGTGCATTCCGTTTGTTAAAATAATTTTTATTATCATATTTGTCGAAAAATGTGTGGTGGAGTCATTCTAGATATCTATCCTCGTTGGTATTTTCCCATTCATAACTCCAGAATCAAATAATACTTAAATTATTATAATTATTCAATAATTATAATAATTTTATTATTATTATTATTATTATAATTTTATTATTATTATTATTATTATTATTATTATTATTATTATTGAATTAATGTAATTATAAAATAAAAAAAATGCCTGCAATGGGAAAAATTATTGAATAATAATAATAATTTAATTAATATAATTAAATAATTAATTTTTCCCACTGCAGGCATTCCCATTCCTCCACAAGCAAACAAAAAAAATCAATATCGAGGCAGAGAAAATCCCGAGCCCATCCCCTGAAACTACCCCATCTAAAAAATTTCCAATTTCACAAACGAGCGCGATGTTTTTTTGAACTGAAAATACCCAGCACAAATGAAAAACTGGGAAAAATAGTAATGGAACTGTACGACGACGTGGTCCCCCAAACTTGTGAGAACTTCGTGTCACTCTGCCTCGGCCACAACGGCTTGTCCTACAGGAACACCCCCCTCCATCGGATAATCAAAGGGTACATGTGCCAGGGGGGGGACGTCACGAAATTCAACGGTACCGGGGGAGCCTCGATTTATGGGGAAAAATTCGCCGATGAGAATTTTGAACTAGTCCACAGTGGCCCTGGCGTCCTCTCGATGTGCACAAATGACGACGCGAGGGACTCCAATGACTCGAAATTTAATCTGAGCTTTAGGACGCTGAGAACTCTGGACGGGAAGAATGTCGTATTTGGAAGGGTTGTTCGAGGAGTTGCTAATATCTACAAAGTAAATTTACCAATTTGGTAATTGAGGAAGTATTCGCATCTGCGTATGCGCTGAGAAAAAAATTATTTTCGCCGAATCTTCATTTACTTGAGAGAAGAATTTATTTTTTCACAATCGTATTTCTTCTATCGAGTCATTCCCCGGGGAGCCTGATGAGATTTCAATTGTGACGATCATGTTGTTTTGGAGAATGACGATGTTGCACTTGACCTTGGATTAACTCCTCGAATGATTATTCATTTTTCCTGAACTTATTATTTTCGAGAGGGAAGAATTTCGATTAATTTATTTTCTCAGTGTATCATCTTTCGAACGGATCGTGATTTTTTTATTTTCAATTTTTTCTGTTGATTATCCAAATGAATTCAGGTTTCTCTAAATTTTCTCAGATCGAGGCTCTAGGAACGAAAACAGGAAAACCCAGGAAGACTGTAATAATATCAAATTGTGGAGTATGTTGAAATGAACAACAGGAGCCGTCATTATTTCCAATGGTTGATTCTAATGGCTTATCTTTACATCGATCAACTCCACATCCTCAAGTAATTATCTATTCACTTTCTAGAGCTCTATAAATTACGGGTGAATTTTTCTCGGTTGGTTGGGGGTGGCAGACGAAATTTGGCCATCTCCACCTCAGCCTCGGCGAAACTGTCGACGTGATAGCAGAAGTACTCGGGATTTTTGTATTCTGTATTTTTACTTGCGTTCGGGCCGACAGCTGTGACATAGGTAATCAAAAAAAATTAAATTCAAGGAGTCAAACGTCGTTAATCCGTTATTATGCATCAATAATAATATAGATATATATATATATATTATTATTATTATTATTATTATTATATATATATCATTGAGGAGTTATTTTATTGATCTTATTATTTTTGTTATCAATATGACTAGAATCAATCAATTAATTAAGGAGTGCAAAATTATGAAATATTTCTTAATTATTAAATAAATATTGTACGTACGTTTGGTGGGCACTGCAACACATTTTTCACTCAACCCAGATACATCTGGGTTTGGAGCTGGCTGAGCAGTGCTTGCAGCCCCTGACTTTTGACTGTAAAGTCTCACAGGCAATGATTTCAGCTAAAACGTGAGCAAAAATTTCATTTAATTTTTGGCTCGAATGAATGAAAATGATAATTTTATACAATTAAATCCGCAATTACAGTTAAGTTAAATGAATTACAATTAAATAATAAATATAAATACATTAAATAAATTACAATTAAATTAAAGAGGTCAACAATTGAAATATTTTCCTCTTCACTTTTTGATGGGTAATTTTCATTATGTATTGGCCATACCTGACTCGATGACAATTTTCCAACTGCCCTCAACATATTTTTAACTCTCCAACAATTACTCCAGTTTACTATAACCCGAAAAATTAAAGAGCCGTAAATAACAGCTGATTTTGTAACATTAAGGTGAATTTCCCTGTGACGATATGTGTGAAATTACAGATGGAAAATGACCGTCATTTTTCAGATCCCGTTGAACGACCAAAAATGACGGTCATGTGAAGCGCAAATTTTCCAACTACAAATGATGGTCAGAACTAATTGCTAATTTGTGATTGTGACAAATAAAAAAATTGTTTCTTTACATCGCTGAAAAATGACCGTCATATGACGGGTCGTGTGACGCAATTGTATCTCTAGACAAAAAATTATTGTCATTTTCATTTAAAAATGTGCAAAAGGCTGATATGAAATGAATTCAAGCAAAAATTTGTAAAAAAAAAATACAAAGTTCTTTACAAGTGAAAAATGACCGTCATTTTTTCTCGAAAAATTGCAACGATCACAGAGGGCGGCAGGCGGCATGTGATTTGTCTCAGCCATCATAATCGCCTCGTCACGTGACGGTAAATGACGGTCACGTGACGGTAAATGACGGTCATGTGACGGTAAATGACGGTCACATGGCGGTAAATGACGGTCACATGACCGTCAAATGACGGATTTCCATCGCCACGTGTAAATCCGCCCAAAAATTAAATTTTGCAAGCATTACCTAACCTCCCAAACATACATTTCGAGTTTATAATTCAATTCTCCCCCGAAAAATGAGTGAGTCCACCGGTGCAACCGTACCCAGCAACCGGCACAAGCGAAACGGAAGATTCATCAAGAAATCTCAACAAGAGTATCGCGAAAAGAGGCTCGAGGCTCTGAAGCAACACAACAGCCAGCGACAGGAGGACGCCGTTCCCTCTGACTCTGAAATGAATGCATCACCGTCAAAATGCATTCTCCGGGGTCGCAGGATTATGGACATGGGCTATGTCACTGAGCAAATGTCCTGCAACTCCTGTCGCTCGCTATTGTGCTTTTCGCGGATCGAAGCGGAGACCAAGATCGGTCTGGCCTCGATCTTCAAAATACGGTGTGACGAGTGCTCAGAGGTGAAGAGTGTTTACACGTCTCGCAATTTTCCCAGAGATAATGACCGTTCGTATGAGGTCAATTGCAAAGCGGTGACATGTGAGTCATTGTTGAATACAAAAATTAGAAAAATTAGAAAAATAAGGGAAAAAAGAAGAGAAAACGAATTATATATAATAATATTAATTTATTATTTTTATTATTATTATATAATAATATAATATATAATAATATAATAATAATATATATAATATTATTATAATATTATATAATATAATAATAATTATTATTATATTGTATTAATATAATTGTTAATTATATTAATATTATTATTATACATGATAGTAATAATATTGTTACGGAATCGAATGGTTTAATCTATCCTCTTCCCCGCTTTTGTAAAATTAAAAAAAAGTTGATTGTCATTCTCTAATGTTTGGGAATAACTTCATGGGTGATCCACTTTTGTTCTATGATTGATTCTGAAGAACTGTCAATAAATATGCCCCGTCGATTTATCCTGAATTATTTCTTAATTAAATACAACAATATAATAATTTATATATATTAATAAATATATATTATATTATTATATATAATATTAATATTATATAGTATATAATCTTATATACTACAGAAAGAAAAACATTAGACGGAATAGATTGGCTTTAAAAACGTTACAGTTGATTTTTTTTAAGTAGATAGAATTAAGTAATTGATTCGTCGATTAATTTATATCGAAACAGGCTCCGTCGCTTCTGGCATCAATCACAGGCAATTGATGAAGTTGTTGGCCGACATAAATGTACCATTTCCCAGTGAAGCCAGTCTAAGAGCCGCCGAGAAACGCAAGAGAGGGGAGGCAACTGCTGAGGAGGCGACACCCGAGAAGAACGTTAAAGAAAATCCAACAGCTGAGGCTTCGTCGGCTAAGGAGTGAGTTGAAGATTAAACCTAGCAATGAAGGGTCTTTCAGCTAAAAATCATGTACTCACGGATTAATTACTCATTAAGCTCCTAGGTTGACCAGTCCAGGGAGTACTGCAGACGCAGATGATCTATCTATAGAGGTGATTTATTACAGCCCATGATTCCAATAATTTCCGAATTGATTATTCATTTTTTATGAGGCATTTTCTTCTGCAGACGCCTAGAGGATAACTGAGAATTACTCCCAGCGAATGTTATTCTCAGAGAATTCCCTTCCCAAAGTTTGACTGATTAGTGCCTAAAGTGATCTGGTGAGTTCAAAATGTCTCAATTATTTTTATAAGAGTTTTGGTCCACCGAATTTCGATTTAGTATTTTCGCCTATATTTTGTTAACTACACTTTAGTTTTCAGTTCTCATGCGAACGGATTAAAAAAAATTGGACATATTTTTCAAACGAAAAAAACATGAGAAAAAATTTAAGCAAAAATTCCAAATCGAAATTTAAAGGCCCAAAACTGACTTTCTGTGGAATGTCTTGATTCCTCTACCTAAAATATTTATCATTAAATTTTTCAGACTTTCGATAATTAGTGTCGCATCCGGCAAGCCTCACAGATGATCGGAATTATCAGATAAAGCTGCTGAAATATATTTATTCACCACTGTCCTCGTATAAAAAAATTACAAAATCCACTTCAACGAAAATTGGCAAAATAGTAGTATCAATCCTATATACACTGAATGAATAGCGACTCAATTTTCGAATATTTTAAACTGGAAGCAGATAATTTGGGATTGTCTAGGCAGCCCTGCGGTAGATCTTGGACAGGAATTTGAAGAATAAGTCGTGGGGAAGACCGCGCGATATCTGTTGTATGTGCGTATTCATGAGATTGTAGCTTTCCTCCTCATAAATGGCATAAGTTGAGGACAATCCCAAATCGTCGTATAACTGTTTAACTCGTGCCACTTTCTCGGGATCCTTGTATCCATAGCATTCCTGAATAAACATTGAAAAATCGTAAATAATATACTTTGACGATCGCGAATACATCGTTAATTTTAGTAATTCATTCGAAAAAAAAATCTGAATTATGAATTGTGAATGCAAAAAGACATTTTTACATTCATAATTTGCCGCTGTGCAGGAGTGGCTCGTTGCAGGGCAACAACAGCCAGCCATGAGCATTTTCCTTCCTGAATGTCAGTTCCGTGCTTTCCAGTGACAGATGGATCGCCATAGCAGTCCAGATAATCGTCCTGTATTTGGAAGAAATGTCCCATTTCCAGCAATATCGTCTTTGCCTGTCGATGCATCTCCGGATCGTTCACTCCAGCCTGAAATCATCACAATCTCAAATAAAAAATGATCAAACCTTTTTTTTTTGAATAAAATAAAAAAAATTTGTGTAATTACTCACAAAATACATGGCCAAGGTGACCGGCATGACGAATGAATAATAAGCTGTCTTATATTTAACAATAGCATTGTATCGATCCATTGTAAATAGATTTAAATTCGGCCGATTTCCGAAATTCGTGGAGAGAAGGTCCAGCGTCTGTCCCATACACGTTTTCATCGTCATCTGAAAATGCAGAATATTTTGAAAAATAATGGAAATAAATTCATTTCAAAGAATTAAAATTGTGACAACTCTTTACTGAGAACTCATTCGATGAGATTATGCGTACAAAAACGAATCGACGGAGCGAGTGCCGAAGAACGAAATATAAACATAAACAATGATTTCATGGGGAAAACGAACTGAGGGTTTTCTGTCTTCAGGTGACGAAATGACGATATTCTTTTGGTCTTTGTGACTAGTTTCTGACGTTTCTTCTTCGTGCCATATTAATTTTTAAATCACTGCGTTTAAAAATTTATTTCATGGCTCATTTCCGTTAATATCCATTTGTTAAACAAAACGTGATGAATGTCTGAAAATTGTCAGGACTATTCCACTGATATTTCTTTTCCATACCTCGTGGAATGTCTCGATAAGATCGACGTAACACTTTTCCGTCTTGAAATGTGTGCGCAATAGTTGATACAGGGCTTGTTCCAATATGATACCATCATTGATGGCAGCTAAACCGATGTTGTTGTGGAGGTACCAGCAGGGCTGGCCCCTTCGGGTCTTCGAGTGATCCATGATGTCGTCCTCCAGAATGAAGAGCGCTTGATGCTGCAGGAAAATTGGGCCAATATTTCAATTTAAAGTCTTGAGAGTATTTATCATGCGGCAATACCCACCAATTCGGCGCACCAGCCCAGTATCCGAGCCATCCTCAATTTCTCTTCGGTCAGATTTTCAGGAGCAATTAACTTACGGTAAGCGTACACTACAGCTAGCCCTCGGGTTTTTTTACCGTTTGGAACATTGTATTGTAGTACCTGCATAGGAAATTATTTTTTTAAATTTTTATTCGAGTCTAGTCTCTTTTTGTTCTCTTTTTATTTATTTACTTCGCCGGGGATTCTGTTAGTAACGCTATTATTAATTGAACGGGTTTTTACTTAACATTTTTTGACAAAAGTGTGTCAGTTGTTATTAATTATGATCTCGTTTCAAGCGAAATATTTTCGGAGGAAAGTTTGTTGATTATCACTTGTAATCTTGTTCATGAATAAATTACATGAATATTTTACATGATTTCCCCAGATGAATTTTTTAAACAATTAGATTAAATTAGAAAAAATGAATGAAAATCGTCACTGGGGGAACTGACGTTAGACGAGAAGTAATTTACCAAAGAATTTCGTCATTCTTTTGATAAAGTTATTATTATAAAGAGGCTTTTAACAACATTTTTATAGAAAAGTATGTCAATTGTTATCAATTGTGATCTCATTTCAAACGAAATATTTTCGGAGGAAAGTTGGTCAATTATCACTTGTAATCACGTTCATAAATAAATCACATAAATATTTTCTATGATTTCCCCAGACGCATTTTCGAAACAATTAGATGAAAATAAAAAAATTTAATGGAGAACATTCGAGGAACTGACGTTAGACGAAGAATAATTGAATGAAAGAATTAAACTTTGAGATCAAATCCTCAGTGCTGTTTCCTGAACATTCGCTCGCCGAACGTGAAAAAAAATCACCCATTTGTTGCGTAAAAAAACATTAAATTGAAATAATACGCAATTATCTAATGTTTTTGCGGAGTTTACCTTGGCCATCCATTTAGTTGCATCTGGAATTTCCAGATGACGACCGACCTCGGTCAAATCCCTGACAATATCCGGCCAAAGTCCCATCATCTCGCGACTCTCGTCCCTGCTGGACACCCAGTTGGTCTGAGCCATGCTGTGGGCCATCCTCACAGACCTAAATGAAGTAAAATATCCTCGGTCACAAGTTGCCCTCTTCCACCGACATGAGATCGCACTCTGAGAATTCTTTCAAATCCTCTGCCATTATATACCCTCGGACATGAATACGCTAGGTTCATGGAGAAATTAAATAAAAATAGGTCTGAATGGTCGACGGTTCGAGACTTCGGAGCTGAAGTAAAAATACCGCAGCGGTTGCAGAAGATACTGATAAGCATCAGTGTCTTTTATCATTTTATTTTTTCGCATGATAATAATTGGATATATCTATCCCCCAGTGGCATTGAAACAGTTGTCGTTTGTCATGCAAACAACGACAGCTATCTTCATGCAAATTGATAGAAAATAATATTGACTAGACATGATTGAAATTAGATGGCACCGTGAGGGCGCCAACTGGTGAGGAACATTTCTCAAGTGGAACTTGCGAGAAAAATACAAAATTATCGACATTCGGATGACCAAAGTGACCCTGATTTACAAGGAAAGTCCGAATGATTTGCATGTCATCTACCCCTCCCCATAATTCGGTCTGCTCATCATTCTTGTCAAGTCCCAACGGAGCAGAAATCAGTCCATGGAGCCCAGAGCATCGAGCTTAGAGGTACTGACAGCAAAAGTTCAAGCGAAGAAAGTAGAATAAACATCTTTGAAGTTTGAATTTCCAAACGTTCAAATGATTTTCGCATTGAATTATCGTTCTGAATAATCGAGAGATTACTCTTCTCATCAGGACATCGCACCCCCTGATCCTAAAATCAGCGAGTCAATACGGGATGTTGTGAAAATCAAAATCACTCATCGTGGAATGCAGACTGTGATACACTGCCCTCCAACAGCGACGAAAAGTGAATTCATAAACTTGATAAAGAATCGGAAAATGTGAAGCGTTCAAAAGTGGAAATGGGGTTTTCAATGAATATCTCGGAATCTGAGGGAGACAGCAAAATTGTTGATATAACCTTTTTTGTAGAGCCGATTCAGCGCTACAACAAATGTCGTTACGAAAATTTCGCTATCTCCCTTGGATTCGGAAATATTCCTGAAAAACTCAACTGGGAGATAAGGGGACTTGAACCGTTTTACCACTTCGCTACTGAATTATTTCCTTGTCTTAAAAATTTATATGAGGCAGATTCTCCCAAATATCGTTCGGTTTTCGGCGTCAAATTTTGGCTTGTCCTAAATTTTTAGTCTCGTAACTCTATTAATAATGGAAAAACCTCAGATGGAAGTTTTTTTCTATTTCCTTTTCAATTAAATCTGACTGCAGTTTCAATTTTACAAAAAAATGTTACATACATTTTTTTAAGGAAAAACCCTGAATTTCCCAAAAAAATGACATTTTTTGGTTCCATTGGGCTTTGACCCTCAAAATTATGCGTAAATTTATTGTTCCACCACATCGAGTTAAAAATCAATTCCTTCCCTCGAAAGAACATATTTTTTCACGCATTCACCTAAAATTCACGTCAAAATAACGACAACAAAAAATTGAATCTTCACGCAGGTGAATATATTAATTCAATAATCATATTTTTCATTCAATGCTCACTGTCCACAATCAATTGAATTATGTATTTTTTCTCGTGCATTTTAAGACTTACCTAGTCTGCTGATCTTTATTGTATCCACCGTGCAGAATGCTGCACGTGATACGTGGCGTGATTCCTCCATCAACTTTACTAAATTGCAATCCACTCTGCAGAAGATATCTCACCGCTGAGCTCCTCATAATTGACACTGTGATTCCTCAGTGACTACTGTAACCTATTTGATTCCCAAAAAGTGGGCTTTCAGGAAAAGAAGAAAGCGTAAAAAATTTCTAAATCCACTCCTCTCAATGAATCTTTCGTCACTGGCTTTTTGAGTCAAAAATTATTCTAATGAATATGTTCCGGCACTGCGGAATTTTTCACTTATGAAAACTATTCTAGAACCTTTCATTCACGAGAATGAATAGTTGTTCAATTTTTACAACCGAAAATTTCCCCTCGAAAAGCTCATTTTCACTATATACGGGCTGAATAATGGCTTCAAGTCGTGTTCTGGGTCAGAATAAATGATAAAACAATCACTCACTCAGTATCAAATGAATAGTACGGCAAATAAATTCTGATAAATTATTTTTTAATCGTAACGTCCGCTCGCATTTGATGATTACGGTGATGTGCTACGTCCGTTTAAGTAACGCATTCCCCCCTCACGTTTCTCGCCGATCAACAACACATGTCACCTCATAGACATATCACGCATGACGTAGTATCCGTGTGTTGTTTATACCATTTTAACACGAAATACCTGCGTGACCTCGAAATTTATTGAGACACTGGCAATGGAGAAATACGCTTTCTCATTGGTTCCGCCATTTTCGGGCTGTTCCCGCCAGTTTATGAAACCGATGGAATCCTAAAAGTTAAAGATTCTTCATGAAAAATATGGGTTCAGCCTACAAAGACTAACATATTAATAAATAATACCGTTTCATTGGTTTTCTCTTCATTTTTTAATTATTTCTCTCATTTCCTTTTAATTTTTGTTGTTAATTACAAGTCAATCCTGTAAATTACTCTCTTGTAATTATAAATTAACTTCTCGGAGTCATAACGAAATAATAATTTTTCGCTGACTTATGGTTATTTATGATTCCTTAATAATTCAACTTATTAAATTTTGCAATTGTTTAAATTTGGCTTTAGGGGAGCGTTCCAATATTACGTCACAGGATTAGAGGGGAAGGGGGGAGCGACGCCGCTCATTTCGATCGAAACCCATCCAACTGGTCCATGGGGAGGATTTTTTTATTATTTACATCTTAATAGCAATAGATCCGTCGATATGTATCGAACACTCGTGATGATTGATTTTTCGCAGAATACGCTCATCAGTCCGAGCGACCAGACCGGTTATTCAGAACAGCTCTGTTGTTATCTATTTTATCTAGAATATCCAGTTGAAGATACGATCCTCCCATCGAGCGTTCCCCGACAACTGCATTTGTCAATTCCTCAGCGGAACCGCGACTACTCTGGCCCGATTTTGATATTTTAACTGGCTTCGTCTGGGCCGTGATATTCACAGCGAATTTGAATTCAGCGATAAATGCCTCGAGTGGTGTAATCTGAAATGACAGTAATTGTCCAGGATTACATGACATTTTACCCGGTTTTCCCATTTTTAAATGCGCATAATCACCCAAATCAGTAGCGAAGTGGTAAAACGGTTCAAGTCGACTTATCCCCCAGCTGAGATTATGAGGAATATTTCCGAATCTAAGGGAGATAGCGAAATTTTCATAACCACATTTATTGTAGCTCTCAATTGGCTCTACCAAAAAGGTCATAACAAAAATTTTACCATCTCCCTTAGATTCCGAGATATTCATTGAAAACTGATCAATAGTCAAAATTGACTTGTACCGTTTTACCACTTCGCTACTGAAATGTAAATAGTTGAATCAACTCTACTAACTTTCTCCGCAACAGCAATTTTTCGGACATTCCAAATGCATTCAAGTACAGCGAAGACAAAGGCCAGAACAAGGCCAAATACCAAAACCAAGAAAACACCCCCAACATGAGCCATAGTCAGTTCTCCCGAAGATGGTTCCGGTTTATTTGCCGTGCACTGTTTGCTCCCCTGCAACCACCATTTCTCCTTCAACTGCCGTAAGACACCCCTCTCCTGAAGTTTGAGAATGGCTTCGCTGAACTGAGTGCGATATGGCGAATCTGAAAATTGATCTCTTCAAGACTCAGGGAATCCCTTGACTAGACAGACCATGTTCATAGACAATAACATCTCAACGTACTAGGTGGCAAGGCGATTCCGTATCCTTTGCTATCGAGAAGATCGCCGACTTTTATCAGATCGCAATTTCGTTCAATAGCATACTCAATACCCGTTGACTCCATGAGAAAAGCATAAGTTTGCTTCCCCTTAGCGACTCTTTCTACACCCTCCGCATTGGTTTTAGTGAATACACTGGGCTTGGCTTCCACCATTGCTGCCCACATTTTCTGATACATCGAACTGTTCGACCCCTATCGAAAAATCGTTTCGAGCCGCGTTGAACAACCCGTTGGCTGATGAATCGTAGTGACACTTACCTGAAAAAATCCGGCTGTCGAGCCACCCTTTATCGCTCCATACTTGATTTTCGTTTGGGCAGCGAGTTCGGTGACACTACTAATAGACACGTCCATTTTCGTGGCCGTGAGGAAGGCAGCGAGGTTGGCAGTGTAAGAAGATACCATTATAAGAATGAAGAACCACCACATGCCGGCTACCATGCGAATCGATGGGGTCCTGAATTTAAAGTTCAAAATGTAAACAAAAAGTTGCAGAAGTTGAACTTTACTTTTGGCAAATCGTTCACCTAGGAAGAATATCTGAACCCTGTTGTACAAGGGATCCAGCAGTCAGCCACAGTGAGTTCTTCATGTTGAAATCATTCTCCAGTTCCTCGGGTTCAAAATTACACGGATGAGAAGCGTTCCACTCGCCGGGAGCTATCCTTCAAAGATCACATCGTTCAATTGATTACGATCAAGATGTATTGGATATTATAACTAACATTGTCGTGGCATTCTCATTAACTTGGCAAGCCTACGATCTTCATTCTTCTCATTATCACACCAATTGGATAATTGACTTTGTTCTTTTTCAATATGTAATGGAATGATGTGAAAATGTAATACCTGGCTTGCACGTAAAGCGAGACAGACACGGCAACGTAAGCCGTAGTCATGTATATCCAAACATCTGCCGAGAATGGCGAAAGAAACGACCAAAGCTCCGGTTCTTTATTTTCCGATTTTGCGAATAAAATACTAATCCCCAGATCCATGAATGGCATTGTAAAATCAACAGCTGTTTCGCGGGCTTTTGTTATCGTGAGATCGCATATTGCCAAATCAGCTTCCTGGAATGTCAATAGCCACTCATTACGGTTAGCGCACAGTATTGAAACGCGTGGGTATAATAGAATAGGTGCTTATTAAGATAAATTGGGATGTAAAGAAATTGGACGTCAATACAAATAAAAATGAGGGAAAAGAATGAAGAAAAACAAAAAGTAACACTCACTTCAGAGGAGTTAGGGTGAAAAGAAATTAATGTATATCCGAGGGAATAGATTGGAAAAAGGATATTCGTAGCATTACTCCCTCCTCTGAAAGACGATTGTCGTCCCGACAACAGGCAAACCTGTTATGAGCAACTGAAATGTCAGTTTCAATGAAAAACTGATACTCAGAGGAGGATTTGGGATTAAAAGGAATGAATGCATATCCGATGGAATGATAATTCGAAAGGAACTAATGAATATTCGTAACAGTATGGTATTATCACTGATACTTGCTCGTCGCAAAAGGCGACCGATGAGACCATTCCACTGTCTTGTATCAGGATCCTCCTTTCCATATTCGTTATCCGGCACAAGTTCAAATTGATATTTGAATTTGAGTAATTGTGACAGCTCATCGATGAGATCAATAGCATAGCCCTCATAACGCTTATTGGTCCCCATAAATGGGGCCCCTCTCGCAGATCCGTCTGACACTTCCATCACGTAGGGATCCCCCTTAAAACCATTAAACGTTTCACAATATTCGGTCAAGACAGTAGTGTTACTTGATGCGTACCAATCTCGTGGTGACTGTAAACATTCTTTTTTCGATACTTTGTTGCGCCTGAGCTTCACGATCTTCTTGAGTACTGACGACTTTTAACTGTCCGTCGTCCCAATAACCAGATGTGGCAATTCTTTGATTATGAAATTCTGTGAATGTCAGCCGGAAGGATCTTCCGCCATTCTCGCGGAAGATTATTGGCCCACTCACACTTCCATCTATCCTTACCTGGGGAAAAATATCACCCAGGATATATTAATCTTATGTAAAGAGAAGATGTCACACGTTTATTCCTAAATGTCTGAAAGAGAAATCGCATGCATGATGGTGATGCTTTTTTTTTTTTTTTTTTTTTTTTTTTTTTTTTTTTTTTTTTTTTTTTTTTTTTTTTTTTTTTTTTTTTTTTTTTTTTTTTTTTTTTTTTTTTTTTTTTTTTTTTTTTTTTTTTTTTTTTTTTTTTTTTTTTTTTTTTTTTTTTTTTTTTTTTTTTTTTTTTTTTTTTTTTTTTTTTTTTTTTTTTTNGTTGATAATGATACTGATCACTGATGGTGACGTTGGTGTTAGTGATTCCCAACGGAGTATATATTAATTCTCAATTGAAGTTTTCATCGATTTCAACGAATTTCTCCTTCGTAATACTATAAAAATTCGTGTACGTGAAAGAACATACTGATTCCAATCAACTTAAATATTAACGTGATGAATCATATAAGATCTGTCAAATTGTCAGGCCTTCGATCTTGTCAGAGTAATGAAAGGTGTTGAACTTATGCACCAACCTCTCGCATAAGAGACACTAGACTGGGCCCAGCAGGATATTTTTCAGGATTACTGCAGGTGTATGAATCTGGCTGAATATCTACACTCTCATCTGGATCATTCTCGCTACGTTTTTTTAAAATTTCTAAAGCCTCGTTGAGGAGGAAAACTCCGTCAAAAAGCACTGCGCTTTCCACCTGCAACAGATGGGAGAAGAAATATTTCTTCGCATCGATAACGACCGATAATTCCATCAGATAAACTCGAGTTGACTCACAACGATGATCAATAGTTTTTTCAACTATTCTCACTCATTATTACCGTAGTCAGATCGAATTCAGTAATTTCGTCGGTTAGTAATTGTAGGACTGTCACATTCGCACTGGATTTGTTGAGAATTTCCGCCATCATGGCCGTGGGAGAATGCTGCGAACGAAAATCTTACAGTTATTACTACCTCACGCTTCGTAATTATAATTCTTCTGGCATACCAAATCTGTTATCAGGTAATGGTAATAATCCTGAAGAAGTTTGACCTCATGCGCCTGTTGGATAACTTTCTTTATATTTGGAGGTGTGACGTCAAGAATAACATTGAAATCGGACGAGTTGGCCACTTCCTTCAACAGAGGCCGATAGTCCGGCTCATTCGTAAGTTTGTCGTAACTTGGATTCAATTGTCGTATTGTCACAGGAAAGTCCTGCGGGCCGTGTTTCTCCAGTAATTTCTGTAATCGTGACAGTCCGTCGTCCGTTTCATACAGCACAGTGAACTGTGGCCAATGCGTGATGTTCAAAAGATCGGCGAGGGCCTGTGGTAAATGTTGTTAGGTTGAGTGAAATAACAGAAACGGAGGTGTAATTAATAAAAGAGCTGGGGGGGACAGTTTATTAATTAATTAGGCAGAATACAGTCGATGATCTCTTCAGGATAATTTCGGGAGTTGGAAAGGGATACGAAATGGTGACCGGATTTTTTCCCCTCGAGAAAATTTCCCGGAAAAAATTCCCCCGGAATATTTTCTCCTGAAAATCTCCGAAAAAAAAATTCCGACTCTGCGACTTTGTAGGACGAGAAAGTTTGTTAATGAAGATTCATTGATTATTGGGGCAAGAGATCAATTCGAATTATTTGGGGAATTGGTTCGATAGCGTTGACAATTAATTTATTGCAGTAACGTAATTCATTTATTATTGATCTATTGAAAAAGTTCTCATCGGGCGTATCTTCGAAGATTGAAGGATGTAATAAATAAAATTGACGTTGGTAATGTGTGTAATTGTTTTTTACATTCGCAAGGGGAAATAATTCCGGGAATTTATTTCCGCGGCAATTTTTCCGGGGGAAAAAAATCCAGAAACCAATAACATCAATGATCATAGCTTTTAATTTTCTACTAACATCCGCGATGATCTCTGCATCTGGATACATATTGATAGTTGTATTATCATAGCTGGTGTCATCGACTCGTCGAAAAATATATTCGATATGAGGAATATCATATCGCGATGTAACACTGGAGACGATATCGCTCGTGAATGAATTTCCAGGCCCAAAAATGGCGATCACCCCTTGCTCAATGAGACGACAAGCTGAATACGAAATTATTGGACATCATTACGAATATCTGCGACGATTGGTCAGTTTTATCTTTGATAATACTTACCTGCAAGGTATGTTTCGAAGCTGTCCGTGCTGGCATTCACCCATTTGATAGTCGGCTGAAGCTGATAGCTCGGTATGATTGCGTTTTTTCGTATTTCACCAAGAGCCCGATTGAATGCCAAGTAGTTGGCCTCTTCTTCCTCGTGAAATATGGCTCCTATCGAAGAATAAAGCATTTAAATTCAGTAGCGAAGTGGTAAAGCAGTTCCACTCATCTCCCAGTTGAGTTTTTGAGGAATATTCCCGAATCTAAGGGAGATAGCGAAATTTTCGTAATTACATTTGTTGTAGCTCTAAATCGGCCCTACAAAAAAGGTCATGACAAAAATTTGGCTATCTCTCTTGGATTTCGAGATATTCATTGAAAACTGGTCACTAGTCAAAATTGACTTGAACCGTTTTACCACTTCGCTACTGAATTGTGCTCAGCTGGAATCTCTGTGTCGTTTTTAATCAAAATAGACGTCTATTGCCGATTGAGAGAGGCTCACCGATTTTCAGGGGTTTTGGCGCGGCAGATCCTATTGGAATCGCAGCCAGCAAGAATAACGTCAGAGTTAATCCAGTCATCTCAATGATTCAAGATTTGTACACAAAAAATCAGAAATATTCCTGCAGGCCATTCAAATGGTTATTGTCGTGTAAGAAGCGTCAAACTTCAGTCGAAGGGAGCTGGAAGCCCAGTATTTATACTTGAGACGCTTTGGAACCACTCGAATACGCGTTTGTACACTTTTGAATATTGATTGGCGAATTCTGAAGGAGGACGGAGGTGAATCAAACGGTGAGATTGATGTACACTGATTCCAAAAACCGAACGTGTCTTTGGAACATTTGTGGGTGCCGACTAAGCTACGCACGCTAAATTTAGCGCTTCGCCCTGGCCGTGGCTGATCGTGATCTGCCACGATCGTATTTTTACGGTTTCATGAGGATTTCCTGAGGTCTAGAAGTCTCTGAAATCTAAATATGAGGAAAATACTGCGCGCCTGTGCGGCAATCATGGAGCGGGGAATTTGGAATGTGGAGGGATGGAAGAAATTTTTGAAATAGCTGTCGACGAGGCATTGCCGTGTGCAGATATGCCAGGGGCAAAAGGAGGATTGTGACCATCGATAGAGAATGGCGAAGGTACCCCAGACAGGTAACTCACCAGAGGATAATTTATCGGCGCAAAATTGAAAAATAAACATTCGGAAGTTCGAATTTTGACTATTACGAACGATTTGAGCAATTTTTGGAATTTTGGAATCCAAAATTCTCCAGTGGATTTTCCGCAAAATTCCGGAATTATATTTCCCTCGATTGTCTTTTGTGATATAGTTCCCCGCGACGTGAACTACCGCACTCGCTCGGGATAAAGAAAAATGAAAAAAATTAAGTGAAAATGAAAAAAAATCTGGACACGTAATAATCCGAGTAAGATGAAGTGAATAGAAGTTACAGCATTAAATTTCTGCTCTCATATATGAATATGCTAACGGTAACCCGTGAAATGCAAAATGGGCGTAGTCGTAGTCTAGTGAGAAAATACGGTGTCTCCTTCGTGTAGACTTTTTTCATCTTCCTCTAACTGGAATTTTTGTTCCACCAGCAAGGTGCAGTCTCAATGCCTCGATATATTACTTTCGCGTTAAAGGAAAACTGGAACGCGGCTGGAACGGGCTAGCACGTACGTAAGGAGACGCGCGCCATTCCTTTACTAGGCGAACCCCAACTCTTTGACGGGAAGTGGTACAGCTTGACTGCATAATACCATCGGGTGATTTTTTCTTCGCGAAAATACAATCGGATTTTGGAAGCAAAAGAATCCTCCATTATAGACAAATGAATGATTTATCTGATTCAAATGCAGTTGATTGAATTCAAATGAAGCATTTTTCTGGCTGTAATTGACAAGCGAGAGGTTTCACAAATCGTTCCACTGGATTTTTTAAAAGTGGAAAAATCCAAATCTAGATCGATCAGAAATGCAAGGAAACCAATCGTATTTTATTTTCAAAAAATCACTTTCACTTTGTTATATTTTTTTCTACAATTAAAAAAACACCGATAACTAGCGAGGAAAACTGAGAATGTGAGAAATTAGAGGATCGGGGAGCATAACGCAAGGAATGAGAACTCGCTCGGTTCATGACGCAGCTGAATTCTCAGATATATACCTCACCACTACTGTTACCCAACACTTCCTCCCAGTCCGGTGTTTTCAGAGGTTTTCCGAGCGGGGGAACTCCAGGGAAAACTTTCGTTGAACAACGGAAAGTAAAAGTCTCATGACAATGTTGTATCTCCCACAATTGTCTCTAGTAGTTAATCTAAAATCACACTATTAAAGTAGTATGAATAAACTCCAGTTGAGTCATGAGTGTAACGAGAAAAATTAATTCAAAAAGGCTTAAAAAAATTATTCATCATTGATGATTTTTCACGCGACAAATCCGTCAAATTCTTCAATAATTTTTTTCACTAATTATCGCAGAAACATGAATTATTTATGACAAAAATTTCATGTTGGGCATAGAATTTTCATTTATTTTTTTCTGATTTTCATTCTCTCATAAAACTGTTATTTCTGCACTTCTAGATTGATTATCATCAATAACACTAGACCGTCGATTAAACACGAATTCACCAGATCGTTTCTACTCATTAACTTTCGTTTGGAATTTACTCCTCTTAAACTTCAAAATTCAAGTTATATTTATACTACTTTAATTAATTAATTTCGACTCTATTGTTCCCCGCTCCCTGGCCCCTTGCCTCCATTTCCCGGAAAAATGTGGAGTTAAACCTTCGTGGCAGCAACCTGCACATTATCCAAGGAAGGATGTTGAAAAAGAGGAGAAGTTTGAGAAAAAACCTCATGAGATAATTCTCTCCCACGAGGATGAGAAGTTGTGTTTATCCGTGACTCGTTGGTTGACCTCACTGCATCATCTCTCTACCTGCAATTCCACACGGTCACACCCATTGAGTGCACGAAGGAAGGATAATAAAACAAGAGGAAAAAATAAATACGGAAAAATGATTAAAGGCAATGGCCGCTGAGGTCAAGCATCATAGCGTTGGGTAAGTTCGCCTTGCTGTGGAGCAGCGCACCGCCTAGACAGTTACAATGATGGCTTTCATATCATATCTCGCCTCCGCTAAGCATCGACGATACGTTAATTCCACGGTCAATCGACCGGTGGCATGAAACCACACCCACGTGAACGCTTTTCAATCCTGGAAGGGGAGGAGAAAGAATGATTGACTTATTCAACTGTCTCAGAGAACAATTGAACAATACCATTTTTTTTGGCAAATTGCGATGAGTTACTTCCTGAACATTAGCCGCCATTCATATTTGTTGACATGGAATTCTTCCAACACTCGAATTATTTTATAGTTACCAGACCTGCGCGCGAAGAAATCGAATTTATTAAACTTCATATACTCACAGATGTTTTATAAATATCGATAATGACTTGGAGAGAATTGAGAGAATGAAGAGCGAACCATCGATGAATAATTTTTAATCTTCGATTAATTCTTTTTTTTTACTTTTTAAAATAATCTGATTGAAATCTGCAATTGTTGAAAAATGAGAGAGGGTTATGAATTGATTTCCTTGAAAACTGAAAAAATTTCTTGAATTCTTCGGAAAGTTTAGCAGTTTTCCAGATAACCGTAGATCTTCAATGATTTTTCTCGAATTATTTGGGACACCGAAGAATTTTCATGAATTTTGTAGAGTTTAGAATTTATGTATAAAAATCTGAGAAGCAAGAATTGATCATTTGAAGAATAATTTGAGTTAAAAAAATTTAGAAATACAGTTTTTTTCTCATGATCAACAATTAGGCAATTTAGATATATTTTGATACAAAGATAAACTTCATGAAAACCTTGACATGAGGGAAGCAATTAAATAATTATCAATACCCAAATTAAAAACCCCTCTTGAATTAAAACTCCTGCGTTCCACGTAATTTATTTCCGGCGATGAAAAAGAACTAAAATTCATACTCAAAAACTCCCCGAATTCTCTCTCTACTCTCCATTCATTCGATCGGCCGCTTCGCGTGCTGACACGCGCATCAATCCTGAAATCCTGATGAAATCTGAAGAATGAAATTATCGTAAAAACCAGAAGAAGGACCGGCGTAAGTCGCGGATTGTTGTGCAGGGAAATATCCCCGTGAATGGCGACGCAGGCCAGAAAAACTCGCCCGCCGCGGTCTCCGTTACAAATGCTGCACTGGTGACCGCAACCTAGGAGGTCAATCGTCCACCGCCTAGCTGTCCTCCTCCACCGCCGACCTCAAACAGCCTAGCTCCTCTCCAATCCCAATTCCCCCGTGTCTTACAGTCGATTGCACTCGCGTGGCAATTTCAGATCCCTCTCATCCCGCCTTAACATCAGTCTCTCTGCTGTTCTACACGTGCAGCACACCTCCAGCAGATCCTCAGTCATCATCGAGCACTCGTGCTGAACCCTCTGAGACTTCTCCCAGACGGCACATTCATTTGACCGAAGAAAAGTCGCGCATTCCCATTCAAAGCGTCATTTTCATCACCCATTCGTGAATAATTTGCGTCAAATTACGCGGAGTATCCAGTGGAGTATATAAAACAGTTCGCAACTGGTCTCTGATTTCGCGAAGTGGATCGCATTGAGCTGTTCGCTGTTCGCATTGCACGATAAAACAACTGTTGGGCGAGGGAAGTGTGCGGTACACCCGAAACGGTAGCAAGTGAAAAAATAAAACTTCCGGGGTTTTGTTAGCGCTCTGGTGTTCTCCAACGAGTTCACTCCGTGTCTCCTCACCCGAAGGACACAATAAAGTGCCTCTGAAATTCAAACTTCACGGGAACTTCATTGAGATTTCACTCCTCATAGCGAACTGCGGTAATTGCGGAGATCAAATTCCGGATCGGACGGGCTGTAGCTTATCTCTTATTTATGGGGAATGCCCACCGATATTTAAATCCAACCCACTTGCACAGAAATTATGCATTCGGGTTGATTAACGGAGTGGATTCCGATTTTTCGTGTGTGGGTCAAGTTGGCGTGATCTTTTGCCTGGTCGAGAGTGGATTGGCCAAGTGTTTGATTCGAGATGGTGGGATGTAGCACTGTACATCGAACCTGTGGTGTGTTCAGGTTGAATTTGAGTCGTAATGGAGTCTTGAATTATCGAGTTACCGGGATTTGCATCGCGGGGGAAAATGAGCTGGATTAAATTTAATTTTCAATGTGAAATTATTCGTAAGAATTATTTGTGTGGTGTGTAAGGACCCCGAAAATATCAACGTCGCATTGATAAAAAAATCAACATTCGAGTGGACAGACGACCAAATGACAATCCCCATTCATTTAATAATTAAAATAGATGTTTAACTGAGTGAATGCAAAATTGGCGGAAGAATTGACTGTCAAGTTCCTCGGGGATTCGGTCATTAATGGAGGATTCAATAGCAAATGTCAGTGATTGTGAATTGATTAGAAACGGAAGTGCGCGGGTTTTTACAAATAGCCGAGTCACGAATTCCAGAGGCAGAGAATGGAACGTTAAGATTGCTAATATGAAGATTGAATTCATCGGCGAGTCGACCTAGTAAATTAAGAGCGTCTGGTTTACAGCAACAAGTCCAGCAAACCGTTAATGAAGACGCTCATGCGTTTTCCTCTATTTTTCATTTGTGAAACGAGACTGGGGATAAGACCCGGCAAATAATTAAAGTAATGGGGAATTCGAGATCGCAGGTGCCCCGGAGGCAGAGAAAGAAAACTTATTTGCTTTATGTCATCAATCGTACGTGGAATGGATTGCGGGGGGACAGGGGGCAGCGGAAGACTGGTGATAGTGATAGGAATTCAGAGGTATCGTCGGGATGCAGTGGATGTGAGAGATGTGATTATCATCGGGGCTCACTTATCTTCGATAGGTAAGACAGAACCATCCACTACCGATCGCAGAAATCGGCGATTTTTCACGGGCCAGTAGATGGTAATTAAATCCAGTGATGTCAGTGTAGAAATCTGTTTTACTTTCAATAGGAACAACATTTTTTTTATTTTTCAAGTCGTCTTGAAAATCGTTTCCGTACTGCAAACTCGAAGTATATCTCATGATTTGTTGTCAACTTTCCAATTTGTTTATTGATTAATTCATTGTAAATTCAACTTTTTCGAGTTTGGATTTTTCACTCCGAAACTTTCACCTGTTTTGAATAAAAAAGTTCTCTTGCACTTCTTCGATAAAATCGATATTTACCGAGTTATATTTTTTTTAAATAACTCGCCTGGCCAGACCTGAAAATTCTGCTTTCGCATAACTTGAAAAAAAAAATTATGTTAATAATCGTCCAAGGGACGCGAATGAATCGGCAACACATTCTTTTTATCTTGAAGTTTGAAAAAAAAGTCTTTCGATTTGATCGAAGAAGTCGAATACCGACGTTCAGTGGTCGCAGTGGTTAAATCGCATAGTTCGGCTCGACGCCTAGGCGGCCGGGGTTCGAGTCCCAGCCCGGGTGGAATTTTTTAACTTCTTTCGCAAGGGTTTAGAGGTTCGCGATGTGACTGGGCTTACTGATTTCGGCTGGAAAGGGTCCCTGACCCCTGCCAAGGGCTCTAAGGGCTCACCCGAGCCGACTTCTGCTTGTCAAGGGAGCGGGCGGTTGTAAATAGAGTAACCGACTGTACCGACAAGCTTTCCCTGATTCCCTGCGTCTCCTTCATTCGCCCAGGGATAAATGCACACGATTAGGCCGACGAAGGGTTTCCAGCCTAAAAAATATTAGTCGACTATTCACGCTGATGAAAAAATGAGCGCGAAACAAATAAAAATGGATAATTTCCTGGTCATAAGATGTTCATTACCCCTGAAAGTCTCCAATAAACAGCAGCTGCAATGATCTAGAAGAGCAGATAGTCAGCATTATGTTTCTCAGCTGTATAAAGGTAGAATGAAGGAGAAAAAAGAATTCTAATGACACGTTTTAAACCGTGGCTCGTGCTTACAACTATCAGCTTATCCCTTTTCTCCCACTCTCCTCCAAAACGCATGACGCATACCCCTTTCAAGCGAGCACACGGGCAACTCCACAAGCAGGTGGCACTACACCGGTACTCTGCCTTGTCAGTAAACTCCCGGCTATCTTGCCAGGCGCTGGCTGACGCTGTCCCTCAAGTTTGCCCGCTATTTCAAATTTGTGTCAAATTAATTTTCACGTTAATGTTGCCGCCCTGCAGTGAGTGAGATTGATGTGCATTCCTTCGTGTCATGATTTTTATTCGAAAGAGTCATCATTGATTCCTCCAGAAAGTACGTACGTAGTTCACAATATAAATTTTGTTTCGAAAAAATCAGTAGCGAAGTCGATTTTGACTATTGTCCAGTTTTCAATAAATATGTCGGAATCTAAGCGAAATAGCGAAATTATTATAATTTCCTTTTTTGTAGCTCTCAATTTTCTCTACAAAAAAGGTTATGACAAAAATTTTGCTACTTCCCTTAGATTTTGAGATATTCATGGAAACTGGGCAATAGTCAAAATCGACTTATACCGGTTTATCACTTCATTACTGAAATGTAAAAAATTTCAGTTTTATGGAGCGGAAAATTAACTCCTGATTATATGCGATTCAATAAAACAATACAGAATCAAATTGATGGTATGAATTTGTCAAATGAATGAAAGGAATATAATTTTAGAAGCGATGCAGTCCATTTTTTGTCGATCGTCTACCTGATGAACTTGTTTTATTCAAACTTAACTATCTTAGGGTTCTATCAGAACTTTCGTGCACTACTGCAATCGCAGAAATACCTCTTTAATGCGAAAATCCATCCTACGCCTCGTCTGTAGATTCGCGTTCGCTCTCAGTGCATGGGGATATGATTGCTCCGGTTCAGGTAGTAGTGAATTACATTCCCCTCGTTACACTATGGGCCATCTCATCCCATTGTTCACGTCTGTCGCTTTTTCTCTATTATTTTCCATTTTGTAGACTCTTCCGTTCTTCCAGACAATCCGAAGTAAGAAGAGTATTCTTGTTACTGATTTTATCGAAGGGAGTATTAAATAATTTTTGAGAATTGAAGAAGTGCGAGGATGTGATTATTTAGTGGAGAATATTATGAATATTGCGGATGAAAATAGAGAGAAAAAGCGGAGAGAAAAGCTGCTTTTCCATCGATACCCGATAATGTTCACTGATACCTAATTATGAAGAAATAAATTAGTTACCCTCGATTACTCAACTTTCCTTATCGTGAAATTCATCTAATGTAGGAAAGAAAATCCGCAACACTTTCTTAACTCTGCCACAGTGATCCCGCGATTGACCTGAAAAATTCAACCGGAGATTATCCGCAAATGATCCCTTGCGCGGGAATGATAACAAGATTTCTCCAATAATTGAAATGATCGGACTGACGCTTCATCGACGTCTCGCACGGCTGAATCAAGGGGACGAGAGGTGGCTATTACCCCGTCGTGTAGAAACCAAAAAATAATAATGGACGGATTAGAAATTGTCCCGTGAAGATTAGCATAACTACAGAGTGTTGGATCTCGAATGCAAATCTAGAGCGTGACGGGAATGCTTCAGTCCTATCTGAAGAGGGAAGATGACGTATTTTTTTCGTTCTCGGTATGATGTCCGCTTCAGTCACGCGACAATATTTTGTGCCCGGGGGAGAGAGGAATTTCACTTGGACACGAAGGATTTGTGAAAATTACGGAGGTCATTTGAGATAATTGTACCATTAGGGACATCCTGAACTCGAAATCTACTCAAACTTCAAATACTCCACTTTTCTTTTTACTTTTTACAGTGGTATGAACAAACTCCAGTTGAGTCGTTGGGTGTAACGAGGAAAAATAAATTCAAAAAGCATAAAAAAAATTATTTATCTTTTTTTTCGTGAATTCTAACTTCGAAATCTCAATTGATTGAAGAATTGACCCATCAAATTTTTCTTCAATTGAGAAAGATAAATTATTTATTACAAAATGTTGATACCGACGATTATTTTCACATCGGGAATAGAATTTTTATTCATCTTTTATGATTTTTTGCTAAATTTTTTCATTTTAATTATTAATTTAATTTATTTACACTTCTAGACAATGATTATCAACAATACTAGATTGTCGATTGAGCACAAACTCAGCCAGATTATTTCCGATAGTTATTTTCCAAATTAAACTTACATTTATCCTACTTCAATGCTCTTGCATTATTATCATTCCTGTCGCCGGTATTTTGGGTTTATTGTTCTTGTTTATTGTTCCCTTTATTAACGAGCTTATTGTGTAAAAAAGTGAGAGGTTGCCCGTTCAATTGAGTCATAAAAAATTTAGCAATTGACGGAGAGAAATCCCGCCAAATCCATTCGGAATGAGATTATAAACGCGAATTAATGATTGAATAATTGGAATGTCAGAGCGGCGGAATAGTTTCCGATAATTACATCGTTGGCCACCGATGACATTGTTGGTCATACGGTTTTCACGCTATTGCCCAACGATCATTTGCCGTCAGTATCCTGCCGGCAAACGGAAGGATCGAGTTTTCATTGCGAATAAAAGTCGCTACTCCCTCGTAGAATTGCTCAGGTATATGCGAGTCTGACGCCACAACACGAGTTATATACCAAACAACTCCTGATCGCACGTATTAGCAATGGATCAATCACGGCAGACCACCGCGGTGGCTATCCACAATCTTGATTCAGTATGCGTGGGTGGAGAATGCACATAATGATTGCCCCTGGTACGCACATATCAATGTTGATGGCAACAAATGCCGTATTAAATGCAATAAATTCCATGCAGAAAATATTTTTTTTTAATAATCGGAAAATTATGCTAGTGGGAAGTTACTTTCGTCGGAGCGTATTCCATATATTTTTAGAAATAAATTAGCAATTTGCTTCTGAGTGACGAGAAAAAATGACAACGATCAAAATAACGACCATTTATTTTTTTGACCAATGAACGACGATTTATTTTTACGACGATTGCCAATCGTTACCCATTGACGACGATTTAGTTTTAATTGAATTTGTTGATTCATTGAAAAAATTGGAAATTTTGGATCTTACGAATACATTGCTTGCATTCGGAAGCAGAAATGCAATTCATTCATTACTTCCCAATTCTCTTGGAGAATTATTAAATCCGGTCTCCACAATAATATAATAATCAGAAAGATTTCTTTTTTTTCTTCGAGCATATCAATGTTGATGGCAACAAATGCCGTATTAAATGCCATAAATTGAATGCAGAACATATTTTTTTTAATTAATAAAAAATTATGCTTCTGAATGGAATTTTTATGACGATTTATTTCAAATTGAATTGATTCATTCATTGAAAAAATTGGGAATTTCGGATTCGACAAACACATTGTTTCCATTCAGAAGCAGAAATGATAATTTCAGGTATCCGAATCAATCTATTCACTCATTACTTCCCAACTCTCATGGAGGATTATCAGATCCGGTCTCCACAATAATATAATAACCAGAAAGATTTCTTTTTTTCCCTCGAATGAAACTCGAGAAATTGCAGTGTAAAACCCTCGAGTCCCAGATCTCATTCATAAAAGGCGAATGAAAAGTGTGACATACGATTGTCTGTCGCATTAATTTTCATCGTAGTACGAATTTACAAGGTGTATACTTCAGCGAGGAAGTTGCGCCAATATATGGTGTTTCAGAATTTATCCAAAGTGGGAAGGAAAAGTTGTCAAACCAAAATTTCCACATAATCATCAAAGACGAATTGCTTCAACGGAAACAATGAATGACGTGTTCCATTTCTTCTTGACTGAATTTAATGAATGCTTTGGGAATTTTTCACATCAATCGATCGCGCAATACGCCCGGAAACAATTGAATTGGATTGGATTGGGCGAATGAGAACAGGCTGAG